GTGGTGCAGGTCCAGGGAAGCAGAGAGAGGTGAGGACGGGGCCTGGTCTGGAAGCAGTGTTCCTGGGGCCCAAGGAAGGCACCAAGCTGGTCTGGGTGAAAATGATTAGGAAGCAGTACCGGTTCCCCAGGTGTCTGGGGCCCCAAGACTAGGGATGGCACAGGGCTCAAACTAGGAGCTGAGAACAGCGGGGGAGATGGAAGGGTGAATGATGTCAGGGGAGTCAAGGCACGGAGGGCTGCGCGGTAGACCCACCCCAAGATGACTGAGGATAGGAGAGCAGACCAGGAGACTTAGCCGGTGGTGCAGGTCCAGGGAAGCAGAGAGAGGTGTGGGCTGGGCCAGGTCCAGAAGCAGTGCTCCTGGGGCCCAAGGAAGGCACCAAAGCTGGACTGGGTGAAAAGGATCAGGAAGCAGCACTGGCTCCCCAGGTGTCTGGGGCCCCAAGAGTAGGAATGGCACAGGGCCCAAACTAGGAGTAGAGAACAGCAGGGGAGATGGAAGGGTGAATGAGGCCGGGGGAGTCAAGGCGCGGATAGCTCCGCGATAGGCTTACCCCAAGAGAGGCCTGAGGGTAGGAGAGCAGGCTAGGAGAGTTAGCTGGTGTTACAGGTCCAGGGAAGCAGAGAAAGGTGAGGGCGGGGCCAGGTCCAGAAGCAGTGCTCCTGGGGTCCAATAAGGCACTAAGCTGGTCTGGGTGAAAAGGATCAGGAAGCAGTATTGATTCCCCAGGTGTCTGGGGCCCCAAGTCTAGGAATGGCACAGGGCCCAAACTAGGAGTAGAGAACAGCAGGGGAGATGGAAGGGTGAATGAGGCCGGGGGAGTCAAGGCGCGGATAGCTCCGCGATAGGCTTACCCCAAGAGAGGCCTGAGGGTAGGAGAGCAGGCTAGGAGAGTTAGCTGGTGTTACAGGTCCAGGGAAGCAGAGAAAGGTGAGGGCGGGGCCAGGTCCAGAAGCAGTGCTCCTGGGGTCCAATAAGGCACTAAGCTGGTCTGGGTGAAAAGGATCAGGAAGCAGTATTGATTCCCCAGGTGTCTGGGGCCCCAAGTCTAGGAATGGCACAGGGCCCAAACTAGGAGTAGAGAACAGCAGGGGAGATGGAAGGGTGAATGAGGCTGGGGGAGTCAAGGTGCAGAGGGCTGCGCGATAGACCTAGCCCAAGAGGCCTGAGGATAGGAAAGCAAGCCAGGAGCATCACTTGCAATTTTTTAAAGGGTCTTTGTTATTCTTTTCTGCCCTTCTCAGCTTGTTTTCAGATGACAGACTTTTATGGTATGGGGGATTTTTTCTTTTTCCATTTTTAATGGAAAGGAATAGTAAAACTTTATACATGGGGAGCTAGAGAGTATAGTAACTTGCCTAGTTTTCACAAGGCTCTGAGTTCAAGCCCTAGCATTGTACACCTCCTTTACCTCTTCTTTGTCCTAATATGACAGGTTATTCATCCCACTTTTCATTTGAAAAGCATAATAAAATTCATAGCATTACTCCTCTCTCTTATTAATTCCTTTCTCTTGGGTCCCAGTAGACTATTTCTGGTATTTGCTGACAGGACTAGATTTAGTTAGAAAGGTCATGTTAAACCTGGGCTCTGGGACCATTCCCTCTCCTCCCTCAGATGTGCTTGTCATCCAGAGCGATTGGTCTGTGCTGGGGCTGGAGCCTCGTGCCCAGGCTTTCTTAAAGCTTTCTGGCTTTCTGCTCATATTAACAGGCAAATCTGAGAAGAAGCAAGTAATGGAAATGAATGGCACTTGAGCTGAGCATGGTGGCTTACATTCAGGAGGATGAAGCAGGAAGATTGCCATGAGTTGGGGGCTGGCCCAGATTATATAATGAGTTCCATACCAGCCTGGGCTAGGGTGAGACCCTATCTCAAAAACAAGCAAACAAATAAATAAAATGAATAATGCTTACCTGAAAATATTTTACCTAGAAAAATAACTAATTATGGACTCTTCTGTCCACTGTGACTGCCTGGGCCAAATTCACATCTCTGACCAGGACATCTGAGCTGGATGCCTAGGGCTGTTACTGAGCAGCAGATCAAGGTGCTCAGTGGAGGCATCCTCAGCCAGTACATGGGAGAGCACAGCTGTCAGATAACTAGAAGCTGAAGAGAGGCACCATGAACTACAAATCCACTTATTCAAGCCAAAAACGTTTCCTCTAATGTTTAATCCTATGGTTTATTTGCAAGACTAAAGATACTGCAGTTTCATCCCTGGGACCCAAGCAGCAGAGCACACAGAAAGGACACAATTCTCTCCTCAGAAGTTATTCTCCAGACTGTCCTGGCCTAGTGTTTCTTATATTCCGCCTCCACCAGTGACTTGATATGGTGATGTCTCCTCCCACCCAGCTAGTGGGCGTGGAGCTTCTCCTTTCCAGAACCTTCTCCTTGAGCTAGTTAGTGACCTCCACCAATCCAGGCCCAGGACTGTGCTATTTGGTGAGTTAAGAGCTGGTGGTTTTGGCAATGAGCTAATGTTAAACCAAACCTCAAGGCCAGGCTCAAAGCATGGAAGTAGGAAAACAAAGGGTTTAGAAGAGTTGCCAGGGCAAGATAGAGGGCAGAGCTTCAAAACCCTTCTTTGTATCTTTGCACATGTTTGGGAGGCTTAAGGTATTCAGAGAGGAGAAGGAGGTTTCTGCAGCCAGAAAACCATCCTGTTCTCAGGCTGGGTCTTATTTCCCTCCAGCTATGGCATTGCCTGCCTCATCCATGGCGGGGCGGGGGTGCTTCTAAAACTTCTGGGTACATTTAGGATGTGAACGATATACATTTAAGTAAACAGGTTTCCTCATGCTGTTCATTTGAAGTATAAGCGAACCTTGGGTTGGGGCATAGCTCAGTGGTAGAGCATTTTCCTACCGCGTTCAAAACCCCTGAGTCTGATCCCCAGCATCATGAAAATCAAATAGTAGTTGTGTTTTTTCCTGGTTAATTGATGTGCAACCTTAGAGGATTTACTTACCCTCTCTAAACCTCACCTTTTATGTACTGAAAGGAAACCCTCTTCTGGCATCTACCAGCATCACCAACTTGGCTGGTGTTCTGAGTGTCATGCAAAGGAACTGCTGAGCAGCCTTTTCCCAGCCCCAGAGCTGAGCATGCACCTCTGCCTGTGTGTTCTAGAGAGGATTCCTTGAGGTCTTCCAGTCCTACCTACTGCTTTGTTAGAAGCCTCTCCCCGGTCCTTCTTGGGGCCATTTCATTCTGTGTTTCTCTTTTCTGAATATGTAATATTTTTGCTAAGGAGTATGACTTTAACCCACCATGTCCTGCCTCTAGGCTTCCCTGAGCCCCAAGCCCATAGCTTAAGAACACCAGGCCCCAAGTTAAGACAAGACAGCTTCCTGCCCTCTGCACTGGTCCCAGCAACGTCCTCCTTACATTTAAAGACTGAGGATCAAAAAGGGTTTATCTCTGGAGTGTTTTGTTTCATGTTATTGTTTAATGGGGAGGTTTATGAGACAGGATCTTGCTATGTAGCCCAAGCTGGTCTCCAACCGTGATCCTCCTGTCACAACTTCTCATGTGCTTCTAGGATTATAGGTACACACTACCACACCCTGCAGAAAGGGTGTCTTTGCACTTTTCAGATAACCAAGACAATGTAAGTCATTTTCCTTCCTCTGCACAAGCTACTTATTATTATTATTATTATTATTATTTTTTGAATGTGTATGCCTGTATTTCCTGCATATACATAAGTGCACCTATGTTGTGCAAGAGGCTGTTGAATCCCCTGGAACTGGAGTTATGGACAGTTGTTAGCTATCATGTGGGTGCTGAGATTTGAAGCCAGGTCTTCTGCAAGAACATCCAGTGTTCTTAACCACTGAGCCATCTCTCCAGCCCCATAAGCTACTTCTAATAATGGTGCCAGATTAGCTCCCACTGTCACGGTTTTTGCTTTCCATGTAAATAGGCTTGTTATGCTTTTTTTTTTTTTTTTTTTTTTGCCAGAATTTGTTATTTTGAACTATATTTCCCATTGTTGGCTAGAGTGTAAGTCCCAAATAAGTCAGCACCTATTGGCAGGTCCTCATCCCAGAGCTTGGTTTGTGCTAGACAAGTGCCCTGCCACTTAGCTGTACCCACAGCACTCATTGTCCACTTTTTTAAAAAAACTGCCTTCTTGTTTTCTCCCATTTGTTTGTGTATACTCATGCTCACATGTGCACCAGTGTGGAGAGTGGCGAGCAGGACAGCCTGCAGGGTCTTCTCGTCTTCCACCTATGGGTGTCAGGGATTGAACTCAGGTCCTCAGACTTGGCAGCTGATGCCTTTACCTGCCAAGCTATTTCACCTGCCCTTTTTTGAAATGTGTTTTTGAGGGACAGGGTCTCACTCTGTAGTCCAGGCTGGCCTTGAACTCACAGTAGTCCTGCCTCAGCCTCCCAGGAGCTAGGATTACAGGTAGGAGCAGCCCCACCCCACCTGTCATCCACTTTGCCTTATACCTGATTGGAAATGGAGGGTGCTTTTACATCTTAGGTCTTATGTGCTACCCTATCCCAAAGCTGATTCTGTTCAGTTGTTACAGAAAGGTCTGGAACACTCTGTGTGTGTTTGTGTGTGTGTGTGTGTGTGAAACATATCCCCCTGAAATGCTCATTACTGTTCACTTTTCTTCTTCCTACTTCCTCCTCATTTTTTCCTAAGAGTATCTTGAATGGGTTTCCCCTGCTCCTGTGTACATACATCAGTCCTCTTCTCCTCCATCCCTGCAGTGTGAAGTGGCCGCCAGTGACAGAGAGAGAGAGCAAGAAGTTAATGTCAAAGAACTGAGAACAACAAAAATGAAGCCTGACCTTCTAAGTGGACACATCCCACCAGGCCACATTCCTAAGCCCATCGTGATGCCCGACTATGTGGCGTGAGTCTGTCTCAGTTTCTCTAGAGCTCCTGTTTGGGCCTTCATTTTCCAGTTTGCCTCCAAGTCAATGCTGTGCTTTAAACTGTTCATGTGCATAGTTGTTTCGTCTCTGGGTAACATGTTGTGAAAAAAAAAGAGAGTACTTGTGGTCAGTAAGGAGAGGTATGAGTTCCCTTTGGGCTTGTTCCAGGGAAGAAGAGTCTTTTTTTGATGCTGTTGATAGCACCCAGTGTCTTGCACATGCTAGGCCTTTAGGCAAGCACTCTACCACATAGCTACACTTCCAGCAGAAAGCTACAACTGTGTTTTTCCCTCAGAAAATACCCTGTGATTCAGACGGATGATGAACGAGAACGCTATAAAGCCGTGTTCCAAGATCAGTTCTCAGAGTACAAAGAGCTGTCTGCGGAAGTACAGGCCATCATGAGGAAGCTTGATGAGCTGGATGCAGTGATGAGCAGGCTGCCATATCACTCTGAGAGCCACCAGGTCAGTGTCAGTCTGCCACATCACTCTATAAGCCTCTAGATCAGTATCAGGCTGAAACATTACTCTGAAAGCCACCAGGTCAGTATCAGACTGCCACATCACTCTGAACACGGCCAGGTCACACCTACAGCTGCCGAGTAGCACACTTGAATGGAGAAGAGCGTAAAATCTGGGTATTTAGAATTCCTAACCAACTATGTCTGCTGTTTGTCTCTAGGAAAGTATTTGATATTTCAAAGTGACCAGTCAGGATTACCATTATCAGTAGAGTGCTTTTGCATGGAAAGCCCTAGGTTTGATCCCAGCATGAAAAAAAGTATCAAATTATATAACATAATGTCTTTCGCCCCTGGTACCCCTTTTTCCTCTTCTTCCTCCTTTGTTTTTTTTTTTTTTTTTTTTTTTTTTTTTTGTGTGG